GACTATCAGCCTATACACACAATAACAAACATACTCATAATGCTCCTCTCTTTACTCCCTCCACTCTCCTTCAAAAATGGCTTGGAGAGCATCCTCCATTTTAAATACATGCACATACGTGTACATGTACATGTTCTTATGTACAGTTCTCAATATGATGCATGCACTAGCATCAAGACTGGAAGAGATGTATAAACAAATGGGATCATGCATTAATATCAGCATCAGTTTTTTAAACTGTCTTTGCAACATAATTACATGTATATGCATCAGAAAAACTTATACAAAGGAGAATCTTCTCGTTTTAAATTTTGGAGAAATTTGGCTCGCACCCTGTACTATTTATAGCCCATAGTTTTTGGCCCAAATTTGGGAGCAACTTTAAAATTCATAATAAATTCAATTTTAATCGAAAGAAGTTCAAACTTTCTAAGCAACATAAGTACATGTATATGCATCATAAAAAATTATATTAATGGAGAATTTTTACCTAGTCATTTTTGGTGAAAGTTGGCCTGAGATCATGTACAAAGCCTATCATTGAAACATACAGTAAATACAATATTAAACATACCTGATTCCTTTCTTTCCTTTTTCCATTTTTTTTCTGGTGGCTGGACTCTGCTTCAACTAATTAGTTGCAGCCATTTTCTAAAATCAGATATACTCTAAATATTAATCAAAATGAGCCCCGCCCATTTCAGTAACCCTACGCCCACGTATCAAATTGAACAAAATTAATTATAATAAAAAGTAAAATAAAATCAAGAGTATTAATGTACTCTTGATGACAACAACAACAACAATAATAATAATAATAATAATAATAATAATAATAATAATAATAATAATAATAATAATAATAATAAAACTCAAAGGCAAGTTAGTGATAAGAAGCTTCAACTAGTTTAGTTGCTATTAGTTTAAATGGTTCTATTCTGTTTAATACATTAATCAGTTCAGTTAGTAATTCAGGTTGTGTACTGATTGTAGACATTAGTGATATCATTAGACCTGTACTCTTCTCTTCCTCTGTCTTGCTACTTCCTTCAGTAGCATTCTTATAACAATCAAATGTGATGAGACCTTGACCAAACAAAGCAGGAGCAACTGCCAGTCTATTAGAAGAAACTGATAACAATTTTGATAATGGTTCAAACTGTCCCCTAAAAACTTTTACTGCTAGTTGAGGATCAAGTGATGGTTGGTGGACCTGTTGATCTATTGAATGTATTATTAAAATCAAGTAATAGTTGTAAATCAAATAATCAAATTTACCTTCTAGTCGTACATTTTCCATTGAAGTGGCAGGAACAACTGATGGAACAACTAATAATAATTATAATTACAATAATAATAATAAGAAGAAGAAGAAGAAGAAGAAGAAAAAGAAGAAGAAGAAAAAGAAGAAGAAGAAGAAGAAGAAATAAGAAATTATAATTACCTGATAAAGGAGTAGTTGACAATAAATCATTCTTAGATACTTCAATATTCCATTGAACAGTAGATGCATCAAATGATGTTTGTATACCATCAATAGATAAAGCATGGGACATCTCATCAGCAACAGATTCAGACTGATCAGGTTTTACTGATACTTGAATGTATG